TGGGCCTCTTGTATTATAGGGAGCATCACAGCACATAAGTGATAAATGTTGAATTATTTTGAAGTTGTTTGTTATTCTTGATTCAGGAGCGAAAGGAAAGACAACTCTTAGATGAGAAAATTGAGAGTGAGGTTCGGAAGCTGCAGAAACAGAGTGAACGAGACCTGGAAGAAGCACGACGAAAATTTGAAAGGAAACGAGAATCGATGGCGGAACAACTTGAGGATGAGGTGAGACGTAGTTAGAGAAATACCCAAGGGACATAACTCTGTCATCAAAACCTTCACAATTTTGACTTCAATTTCACTGGTTGATACTTTAGATCCACACAATCATATATGTTTGATTAAGAAATAGATTGAAATAATGTCAGACGTAAATAACTCATTAACATTTTGAAAAGGCTTTTGCCATGATTTTCTCTGCATTTAGTAAAGTATAGGGTTCACTTTCTCAAAATATGATAAAGGATATATGTTTAAGGGCAACATGAGTGATTCCTAAATTTAGATAATTACAGTTTTACTCACGTCGGATGAATTTGAAGTGAAGTGTACAAAATGTTAATTTTATCAACTACATATGGTATTTCACTTTATCAACTGATAAACACACCAGATATATTTTTAGCAAAAAAATAGCTTACTTAAGAGTCCTGAGTATTAGATGCAGTTCTGGAGGGGAAAAAAGAGAAATTCTTTGCCTTATAGCTCGGCTTCATGACACAGTAGGCTTATAGTTATAAAGCTGTGCTAGAGAAGTTATAGTTACATGTAGTTACTAAGTGTCTAGATTAGTTAAATACTTTCACAACCTATCTTACATTCATACAACCTCTGTTAAAACTTGGAATAGATTGATAATATTTGTTTTGAAGTAATTTCCATTTGAATTTTTTTTCCAACACAACCTCTTTACTACCTGATGGAAATATTTACATGTTTTTGTGGGTTTTTTTTTGTGAATTTGTCAATTTATTGCCTTGAATTACCAAGATTCTTTGTCCAAATGCAGGGAAGGGAATCTTATTTTTATCTTGTAAACTAGTCAACAGGAGAGAAAGTCTCTAAATCTGAGTTAGTATACTAGGCAACAGGAAAGTGGGTCTCTGAATCTTATCCAATATACTTGGCAACAGGAAAGGGAGTCTCTAAATCTGAGCTAGCATACTAAGCATAAGCAACAGGAAAGGGAGTCTCTAAATCTGAGCTAGTATTTTTGGCAACGGGAAAGGAAGTCTCTAAATCTGAGCTAGTATTCTTTGCAACGGGAAAGGAAGTCTCTAAATCTGAGCTAGTATACTTGGCAACAGGAGAGAAAGTCTCTAAATCTGAGTTAGTATTCTACTACTGTTGTTTTATAATAGAATATCTTTAGCAAATATATTTTACATTTTATAGTAAACAGTCTATAATGATTTCTTATACTGTGTTTCAAAATGCTGAGATGTCAGAGCAATACAGATTTTGTGTAGTATAGATCACTTTTATCTTTGAGCTGTATTTCATTGTTGCTTCATCATCATTATATCTATGTATGTATAGTCATCTACATCTTCTTCGTCATCATCATTAACAGCATAAACAGCAGCTGAAAGAGCAGAAACACAAGCTCCGGCGCCAGACTTCTAGTCTAGATAGAGAGGTGACACATGCACGCAGCATCTGTATCTATGTAGAGCTTGTAAATTAGTCTTGTCATTGTAGATATATGCATGCACGTAAAGCTTTTATCTGAATATGATTTATTACTGTATTTGGTATGACTGTTGGGATGCCCCTGGAATCTTTTTTACTCTGCATGCTTCAAATTTATCAAATGTTTAGAAAAGGAAAAAAGATTTCCTATTGTTATTCTGCTGCTGGGAATGGGTAGTTGCATGCATGGTTGACCATGGAATATAGAGAGGATATCATTCAAGTGGTTACTGATGGGGATTTGTATCTTTTGGTGTTCTTTTTTACATTTATAATTACATGATGATTTATTGACAATTACATTTAACCGGAAAACCAACGAAAGTACAAGCCTGTTGTCTTTATTACTAATACTACAAAAATTCTTTCAAACATCACTAACTGTCAAGGAAAATGCATGAAGATTATGCACAAGTTGGCTGTACTGGACAGATAAACTTACAGTTAAAGATATAGATTATAATTGGTCATCACGAGTTGGATATTTGGGTCTTCCCATATCAGAAAAAATAAATAATGCCCTTGTACCAACACACTTAGATAGGTTACGCCACACTTTAAGTCACTACTAATAGGAAGGAAACCTATAGCAGTTGTGGGAGATATATCTATAGGTATGGCTTAGGGATGTGCTGTCTTATTTTGTACTCTGTTCTTACAAACATAATCAGACTCTCATGGGTGCATGCTTCAAACTGCTGTCGTAAGACCTTAGAAATGAATATGGCATGCTTCTTAGCAAATTGTTTGCACTTTTGCTTGAAAATGTAAGGAGTTAAAGACAATTTTATTTGAGTTTTTAATAATAATAATTTCCAAACAGTTGTAAAAGAGAAAGTGACACGTTCACTTTTCTTTGACACTTTGGATGATTTCAGTTATTGGATTCTTCATTTGATTCCTTTATAACAAAAAAATCATTATAAAGTTGATTAATTTTTATGGAATATTTATTGACTGCCCTTTCATCTATGGAAAATTAGTGGGTATTTGCTGTATCACCTTAAGACACTTTGATGCACTTCTCAATTTCTCCAAACTTTGGTAAGGGGGGAAATTCAAAAACATGGATAGGAAAATCCCTGAAATACTAATCTGGTATAGGTTACACAAAGCTATTTTCCCCCTCACTATTTTAAGAAGACAGGAGGCCTATGCTGTTACTGATATCCGTCCCGTCTCATCTTGTCACCGAGATTTTGTACAAAAGTCAAGTATAAGAATACCTTGGATGAATTGCTAATCCATTGAATTCAGGGTCCCAAGGTCACTTGCTATTTATAACTTAACCACAGGACCAAAAGGGCATTCCTGTCCTACAGATCTTTTGTATATATTTTTTGGTAGAGAACACAACCTGATAGTGTTTATGTGCACTATATGCTTGTTGGTATATGGGCTCTCGTCTCTGCATGTGTCAATGCACTCCATCTTATAACCGTTTATAATCACATGTGTTTATTGCTATTGACTTGTCAGTTTATCTTTGATCATTAAATCATGTGTTTAATTTTATGTTAATTCTAGAATGCACATTTTGGCTGATGATCACATGTTTTTTCAGATTTTGACTTTCAAACAGTTGTAAACAACATAATAAAAATGTAATTATAAAATGTGAACGGTAAAACACTGGGTGAATATGGGTTTCACTGGGTTACAGTTCTGAGTAGGGGAGGGGGAGAGGGTAACATTATAAGTTAAGTTCTGGGCTACAGTTGTTCTGTGAGTAAGGGAGTTGGAGAGGGTAACATTATAAGTTAAGATCTGGGCTGCAGTTGTTCTGTGAGTAGGGGAGGGGGAGAGGGTAACATTATAAGTAAAGCTCTGGGTCACAGTTGTTCTGTGAGTAAGGGAGTTGGAGAGGGTAACATTATAAGTTAAGTTCTGGGCTACAGTTGTTCTGTGAGTAAGGGGGGGGGAGAGGGTAACATTATAAGTTAAGTTCTGGGTTACAGTTGTCTTGTGAGTAAGGGAGGGGGAGAGGGTAACATTGTAAGTAAAGCTCTGGGTTACAGTTGTTATGTGAGTAAGGGAGGGGGAGAGGGCAACATTGTAAGTTAAGTTCTGGGTTACAGTTCTGAGTAGGGGAGGGGGAGAGGGTTACATTATAAGATAAGTTCTGGGTTACAGTTGTTCTGTGAGCAAGGGAGGCGGAGAGGGAAACATTATAAGTGAAGCTCTGGGTTGCAGTTGTTCTGTGAGTAAGGGAGTTGGAGAGGGTAACATTATAAGTTAAGTTCTGGGCTACAGTTGTTCTGTGAGTAAGGGAGGGGAGAGGGGAACATTATAAGTGAAGCTCTGGGTTACAGTTGTTCTGTGAGTAAGAGAGGGGGAGAGGGTAACATTATAAGTTAAGTTCTGGGTTTCAGTTGTCTTTTGAGTAAGGGAGGGGGAGAGGGTTACATAATAAGATAAGTTCTGTGAGTAAGGGAGGGGGAGATGGTTACATAATAAGATAAGTTCTGTGAGTAAGGGAGGGGGAGATGGTTACATAATAAGATAAGTTCTGTGAGTAAGGGAGGGGAGAGGGTAACCTTATAAGTGAAGCTGTGGGTTACAGTTGTTCTGTGAGTAGGGGAGGGGGAGAGGGTTACATTATAAGTGAAGCTCTGGGTTACAATTGTTCTGTGAGTAAGGGAGGGGAGAGGGTTACGTTATAAGATAAGTTTTGGGTTATAGTTGTTCTGTGAGTAAGGGAGGAGGAGAGGGTAACATTTTAAGTTAAGTTCTTGGTTACAGTTGTTCTGTGAATAAGGGAGGTGGAGAGGGTAACATTGTAAGTGAAGCTGTGGGTTACAGTTCTGTGAGTAAGGGAGGGGAGAGGGGAACGTTATAAGTGAAGCTCTGGGTCACAGTTGTTCTGTGAGTAAGGGAGTTGGAGAGGGTAACATTATAAGTTAAGATCTGGGTTTCAGTTGTTCTGTGAGTAAGGGAGTTGGAGAGGGTAACATTATAAGTTAAGATCTGGGTTTCAGTTGTTCTGTGAGTAAGGGAGGAGGAGAGGGTAACATTTTAAGTTAAGTTCTTGGTTACAGTTGTTCTGTGAGTAGGGGAGGGGGAGAGGGTTACATTATAAGTGAAGCTGTGGGTTACAGTTCTGTGAGTAAGGGAGGGGAGAGGGGAACGTTATAAGTGAAGCTCTGGGTCACAGTTCTAGTTTAATGTCTGATTCACCACTGTTGTCCGTGACAGTCAGTGTGCATTTTAGTATAAAAATGAGCAAACTTTATATTTTTAAATATGTGAGCTACAGCATAAAGTTCGGCAAACATTTCAGAAATCTTTGAATTATTGCATATAGTAAGGGAGGGGGAGAGGGTAACATTGTAAGTAAAGCTCTGGGTTACAGTTGTTATGTGAGTAAGGGAGGGGGAGAGGGCAACATTGTAAGTTAAGTTCTGGGTTACACTTGTTCTGTGAGTAAGGGAGGGGGAGAGAGTAACATTGTAAGTTAAGTTCTGGGTTACAGTTGTTCTGTGAGTAAGGGAGGGGAGAGGGGAACGTTATAAGTGAAGCTCTGGGTCACAGTTCTAGTTTAATGTCTGATTCACCACTGTTGTCCGTGACAGTCAGTGTGCATTTTAGTACAAAAATGAGCAAACTTTTTATTTTTAAATATTTGAGCTACAGCAAAAAGTTCGGCAAACATTTCAGAAATCTTTGAATTATTGCATATATAAAGCTGGTTATTTTCGAGTGAAGTTATCTCATAGAATTTTCTGATTTCTGTGATATTGACAACAATTCAGGAGTTATATCATTCTGAAGTGAATATTGAGGTTCAATAATAAATGAATGAATTAAGGTGTGTGTGACTATCGTATATTGTTATGTATAATTTCTTGTTTAAAGGAGGAAGAATATCAAGAAAAAATAGCTGAATTTGAAAGAAAAAAGACAAACCTAGAAAAGTCTGCAAAGAATTTAGATACTCAGGTTTGTATTAAATATGACTTGATGTACTGGCAATTCAAACCATTGCTATGTTTAAGAATTTGAATATTTAAAAACCAACCACATTAAGATTATTCTAAATTTCTTACATGTCACATGCTCATATTTATAAAAATAAACCTGTATTCTGGCTTACTAGGGACTTACGAACTGTGTCACCTATTTAACTGAACTGTAAACTTACTTGATGGTGTCTATTTGTGCATGCCGATTGTGGGGAAAATTTGCATTTTCCCTGAAGTTTTTGTAGCATGTGACATGCTACAAAAACTTCATGGAAAATGCAAATTTTTAAATATATACTAGCCGCTTCCTATCGACTCGGCTAGGGAGAATTTCTCTTCAACTCATTTGGTTGAGCATAAGACTAGTAAACCAGAGGTCCCAGGTTTGACTCCTAGCGAAAGCATTGAAAATGAATGACCTCTGTTATATGTATTTTCAAAGAATTGTTTTTTTCTCCTGTGCTAGGTCACATGGCACACCTGATATAGGTATTAGATGGTCTGGGATGGGTGCTAGTGTCTGTGCTTTAAGGTTCAAGTTTGCTGGTTCTCTACAGGAAAAACAACAACAGAATACACAATGCCTCTAACACAAATGCAGGCACAAATTGTCAACATTCTTTAAATTGTGTTTTGCTTTTTTTCTTACACAGGAGAAGAAGTTGGAGGAGAGAAGAAAGAAATTTCGAGAAGATAAAGATAACTTTGAGTTGGATCAAGATGTAAGTTTATATTTATTGCTATTTTGTTGCAGAATAAATTCATTTCTTCAAGCTTTTGTCCATGGCAGGTCAAGTAAAGAGTAAAGAGTAAAGCAGTAATGGAATAAAAAGAATTACATGACAGGTACTTTCTTGAAGCAGACATTACTGTAAATGTGATGTATAAATGACTGCAATATGGTTTTGTTCAAAATTCATTTTTTTTTTAGCTCAAAATGAGTTCAGTTTTACTAAAGTTACATTGGAATGTTCATTACCTTATAAACCTGGGGCCTGATCTTTTGTATGGAACAACAGGCTTGTCTGTTTTTAAATGTAACATTTTCGGGTATAAACCCTGGCGTACCTGCAAGTGTTTATGCAGGCCTTACAAGGCTTTGTCAAGGCTCGCCTGAAAGCAGCATCAGATTACTAGGTCCAGTCTTATATAATAAGCGGAAAACTCTGGTTCAACCGTTTGGATAGTGATAAATTAAAGCGGCCCTGGACACAAAGCCTTCATGTCCCTTGTTTTTCCTACAGGAGGCATTCTCCAGTAAGAACAATCAGCTAAGTACACGGGAGTTGGAGAGGCTGAAGGAAGAACGGAAACAGATCCAGGAAGAAATAACAACAGAGAATGACACACTGGAACAACTCAAGACAGAACGCCGCACCATTGAGTCGGACATCACAAAAATGAAGATGACACGAGAAAATAACACCAGGAAACTCAAGTAAGATATATCATGGAGAATTGTAAGGCATTAGTGTAGAACAACCTAATGAATGTTAATTAGAGCCCTGCATTGGAGATGCTCGTGCCCTATAGTAATCACCAAATCCATGTGTCTGTCCATCCATACTTTCATTTCTAGAGATTATCTCAGTATCCAAAAGACTTATCTTTCTAAAATTGGCATAGTGATACACTGTGATGTGTAGATGTGCAATATGTGTTTAAAAATTGTCTAAGGTCAAGGTCACTGTTACTAAAAGTATACAATCTTATCTCCAAATCCAAATGACTAATCTTAATAAAAATGTACATGGCGATACACGGTGATAATTAGGTGTGCAATAGGGGTTAAAGGTCAAGGTCACTGTTCCTACACATATACCACAGGGGTATGGTCAGGCACATGGCGGGACCCTTGCTGACCTGTCAGTGTTCTAGTGTCTTATTAGCTCACCTGGTCCAAATGACCAAGGTGAGCTTATGCCATGCCATTGCGTCCGTCGTCCGTACGTCCGTACGTCAACAATTTCTTTAAACGACTTCTTCTTAACCACTGATTGGAATTCAACTAAATTTGACTGGAAGCATCCCTAGGTGTCAGGGGATTCAAAATTGTACAAATGGTTGGGCTGACCCCCCAGGGGGCTGAGGGGCGGGGCCAAAAGGAGTCCATTTGGCTATATTGCTTTAAGCGACTTCTTCTCTGGAACTAAGAAGTCGATGTCAACCATATTTAATGAGCTGACTCCCCAGGGGGCTGAGAGGCGGGGCAAAAAGGGGTCAATTTTGCAATATTGCTATAAGCGACTTCTTCTCTGGAACTAAGAGGTGGATATCAACCATATTTGACTGGAAGCATCCCTAGGTGGTGGGTATTCAATATTATACAAATGGTGGGGCAGAGCCCCCAGGGGGCTGAGGGCGGGGCCAAAAAGGGGGCAATTTTGCTATATTGCTATAAACTACTGTAGAACTATGCCATGGATATTGATCATATTTGGTCGGAAGCGTTCATGAGAGGCAGGGATTCAAAATTGTACAAATGGTGGGGCTGACCCCCCGGGCTAAGGGGTGGGGCCAAAAAAAGTGTATTACTTGAAATGGTTGAGATCCCCACCATATAACCATGGTATACAATTGCTGAGTATAAAGAGAAGAATGCACATTTGCTTCCAGGATGGCTATAGGGTCTGGCCCCATCCTTGGAGACATAGTCTCTGGGCCATAACTTTAAAACTGTTGAGATCCCCACCCCAAAACTATATATATAAATGCTGGGCATAAAAAGACGAATGCAGTCATGATATCAGAATTGACCCCAGGGTCTGCCCCACCCTTGCAGACTTAACCCCTGGGTCATAACTTTGAAATGGTTGAGATCCCCCACCCCAAAACTATATATACAAATGCTGGGCAAAAAGAGACAAATGCAGTCACGATATTAGAATTGA